ATTTGAATCCAAACTTAAAGATTGCAGTTTATTGATAAGCCTTCTATGTGCAACAGTGTCAAAAGCCTTACTGAAATCTAGGTAAGCAATGTCTACTGCACCACCCTGATCTATAATTTTAGTTACCCAATCAAAAAAATCAATAAGATTAGTTTGGCATGATCTCCCTGAAGTAAACCCATGTTGTCTCTGATCTTGAAATCCATGTGTTTTAGATGTTCATCAATCCTATCCTTTAACATGGTTTCCATCACTTTCCCCACTACTGAAGTAAGGCTTACTGGCCTATAGTTGCCCGACTCCTCCCTCCCCTAGGTTTACTGGCGGATTCCCCAAGGTCTATTGGCGGATGCCCCAGGATCTATTGGCATATGCCCCAGGGTCTATTGGCGGATGCCCCAGGATCTATTGGCGGATGCCTCAGGGTCTATTGGCGGATTCCCCAGGATCTATTAGTGGATGCCCCTCTCATGGCGGTTTTTTCCCTGTATTCGCTTGTTCATGTTTTTACTTTGTCTCACGGTGTCGTTCATTCATCCTGTATTTCTTGTGACTTTCATTGCTTTACATTGTATTTTGAATTTGTATTGAACTGCCTTTTGTAGAGGCTCAGTTGCATGTCATCCTTATAAATATTTACATAAAGTAAAATAAATAAAGATATATTTTTTTTTTAAATACAGGAAATGCTTGACTCGTTATCATGACCCCTAACATTAATCAGTGTAGTAATAAATAGAAAGGTGATTATTTAGTTCAGACGAAACAAGCATCGTCCTAAAGTCAGACAAAAAATATCTAAATTGGGAAACATTCTTCATATCTCCAAGTCTCATGTTCTGGCATTAATTCTGCAATGTGCTTATCGAAGTTTTCCAATTCACTGTTTAGTCAATAAATCCCTAATCCAACACACTGTCCTATAAAACAACTGAACGATATATACTGCTTAGAGCAATTATGTATCCAAGTCTTTCCCTGGTCTTTATTTAACTGAATTCTAGTTCTCACTTCCCTCAATTTAACCAACCTGCAAAAAAGATTCCCTGCGCACAAACCCAAATCCCTGCGCACGAACCCAAACCCCTGTTCTCTAAACCAAATCCCTGCTCACTAACCCAAATCCCTGCTCACGAACCCAAACCCCTGTTCTCTAAACCAAATCCCTGCTCACTAACCCAAATCCCTGCGCACGAACCCAAACCCCTGTTCTCTAAACCAAATCCCTGCTCACTAACCCAAATCCCTGCGCACTAACCCAAACCCCTGTTCTCTAACCCAAATCCCTGCTCACTAACCCAAATCCCTGCGCACTAACCCAAATCCCTGCTCACTAACCCAAATCCCTGTTCTCTAAACCAAATCCCTACACACTAACCCAAATCCCTGCTCACTAACCCAAATCCCTGCGCACTAACCCAAATCCCTGTTCTCTAAACCAAATCCCTGCTCACTAACCCAAATCCCTGCTCACTAACCCAAATCCCTGCGCACTAACCCAAATCCCTGCACACGAACCCAAAGCCCTGCTCACTAACCCAAACCCCTGCTCACTAACTAATAATATATATAATTATAATTATTTTATTATTATTATATAGTATTATTATTTTATTATTATTAGTTTATTAATATTATTATATAATTATTATATATTAGTATAATTTTAATATTATTATTATTTTATTATATTTTATTATTATTATAATTATATATTATTATTATTTTATTATTATATATTATTATTTTATTATTATTATATATTATTACTTTATTATTATTATATTATATTATTATTATTATTTTATTATTATTATTATATATTATTATAGTATTATTATTATTAAGTGTTCTTGCATAGCAAGACCACTTATTGTTATCTCACATATATATTATTATTATTATTATTATAGCCAAATTTGCCACCCTAACTCCTCCCACAGTTTTTACACTACATAGACAAAAATTTACCAAAGCGTGCAGATTGTTCCCGATCGGATTGCTATTACTTTGTGGAACGTTTCGCCGAATGGTTCACGGAATATCGTCGTTCTTGTGGCGCAATTTGTCCCATAGGAATGAATGGCAAAGCTAGAGTGGGAGCTGGCAAAAGCTGAAAAATCAGGACATGATTTCTAAACTGCCACCACTCCCTCATTTTCAGGCCCACCTACACAAATCTTATATCAAAACGTTCAGCTATCCCTGCTGCCACTAAACATGTCAACGGCTAAGCCGTAGTCCTGATAGTTTTCACAATATGACCATTTGTTTGCAACCAACGCCGTCCATTGACACTCATTGAAACTTCACTCTGCAAAGCTCAAATTTGAAGTGCAATTTCTAAACTGCGACTGTGCCTTCAATTTTATACTTCAGAGACATACTATGCATCAAAATGTAGGTCTGGGTCTTGTGATTCTCACAATATAAAGCTCTTCACTGTAGGAGTTATAGTTTTTAAGATACGACCGTTTGAAGATGGCAACCGCCAAAATACTCTGACCTGTTTCAAGCTGCAGCAGCAAGTGATGTCATAGACAGGGCCTTTGAACACCTGCTAATGCTTTTATAAATGTATGGTTTAATGTAACTGTGCAACAACGTTGCAATTAAATGTGCTATGTAAATGATAAGTTACTCCGCCCACTCCAGTTGTAGACTACTGGTGGAGGCAAGAACACTTCACACAATTTCACCAGAAATTGTAGCTTTTCTAGTTATTATTATTATTCTTATTAAAGCAAAATTTGCCACCCTAACTCCTCCCACAGTTTTTACACTACATAGACCAAAATTTACCAAAACGTGCAGATTGTTCCCGATCGGATTGCTATTACTTTGTGGAACGTTTCGCCTAATGGTTCACGGAATATCGTCGTTCTTGTGGCGAAATTTGTCCCATAGGAATGAATGGCAAAGCTAGAGTGGGAGCTGGCAAAAGCTGAAAAATCAGACATGATTTCTAAACTGCCACCACTCCCTTATTTTCAGGCCCACCTACACAAATCTTATATCAAAACGTTCAGCTATCCCTGCTGCCACTAAACATGTCAACGGCTAAGCCGTAGTCCTGATAGTTTTCTCAATATGACCATTTGTTTGCAACCAACGCCGTCCATTGACATTCATTGAAACTTCACTCTGCAAAGCTCAAATTTGAAGTGCAATTTCTAAACTGCGACTGTGCCTTCATTTTTAATACTTCAGAGACATACTATGCATCAAAATGTAGGTCTGGGTCTTGTGATTCTCACAATATAAAGCTCTTCACTGTAGGAGTTATAGTTTTTAAGATACGACCGTTTGAAGATGGCAACCGCCAAAATACTCTGACCTGTGTCAAGCTGCAGCAGCAAGTGATGTCATAGACAGGGCCTTTTGAACACCTGCTAATGTTTTTATAAATGTATGGTTTAATGTAACTGTGCAACAACGTTGCAATTAAATGTGCTATGTAAATGATAACAGTTACTCCGCCCACTCCAGTTGTAGACTACAGGTGGAGGTAAGAACACTTCACACAATTTCCCCAGAAATTGTAACTTTTCTAGTT